CAGTGGATTTAACAAATACTATAGCTCCTCTCTACAAACTTTATTTCTATTCCTACATCTTCCTACCCACAACAAAACTGTTACTACCATATTTTAAAGCAGATTTTAAAATTGGATGTTTAGTTCCTGTTTGTTGCAGAAGGCTGATATTTTCCTTATCACATCTGGAAAGGTTTAAAAAAAAATAAAAAATAAAAAATAAAAAATTTTAAAACCCACAGGTTTTATTTTCCCTTGTCTTTTATTCTGGTATGTGCCAGCAAATGTGTAGCTCATTCAGTGTTAGCAGAACTATATTTGACTGACTGATAAGAAGCCCCTGCTTGCTCAGAGCAATGTATCTGTCATCCTGGAGGAAGCAAAGTGACAGAAATGACAGCCAGCATGTAGGACAAGGATATCTAGAGAGATGCTCTGTTCCTTGATCATAATGCCATAAAAATGGAAAAGAAAGAGGGAAAATAAAATCGAACGGAAAAATCCAACAGTCGCAAACATATCTGTTTTCAGCACAGAATCAATTGATGCATTGAGCACTTCAAAAAAAATTAAAATTATGCAATGCAACAGCAAACTCCTGTTAGGAATGGACAAAGGCAGGAACACCTTGCTCCCAATTCTGTGTTGTACAAAGGGCTCAGGGCTCTGTGGTGTAATGCAAGGACTGGCCATGGTGCTATCTGTGGGGAATACTGATATTATTCCTGCATGGAATATTCTCTGGCTCAGGCCTGTTGAAATTTACCTTGTTGGACCAACAGGATTCACATTTACTCTGCAGAAATGGACATAACAGAGAATTATTACCATGTTATTATTGGGGCTATTGCGTCAGCATGGAGAATCAGTAGCTAAAATGTGGAACAGAAAGTTTCTGCTTTTTTTTTGAAGACTGCCTTTGTTTCATTATGGGTAGGATGAAAGAGGTAAAAGAGGGGTGTGATAATTAAAAGTGTTCAGCCAGGCTTCTGATGCCTTGGAGTGGCTACCTAAAAACAGAGGCTAGACAAGGTTAAGAAAATAAAAGTGGATATTTATTAAAGGCCTTCAAAAGGTACATCTTGGGCTGTCAAAAGGCTCTGAGAGGGGCTACACCCAAAAAGGACAATGGTCATGGGTTTTTCCCACAATTATAAGTTCAGTCCATTCACATTTCAGGGGCTAATCCTCCAATTCCAGCTTCAGGTAATGAAGTAATTTACCCCCAGTTTGCTCCTCCCAGTTCACTTTTGTTTATATTTTCAGGGCCTGAGGCTGTAGGGTGCCCTGGAGTTTCAGGCCCAGAGGGATTTTGTCTGACCCAAATGTGAAGACAGGTACGAACAGTCTGTATGGAATTTAGAGTTATTCACTAATGCAGTACAGGATCATAAAAGCTGAAATCCTAAGGCGGCATCACTCTGCCATGTGAAAGAAATAGGGCAGGAGATCTTTCTCCTTTTTAATGCCTTTATTAAAGAGAATCAGCTCAGGTGGGGAGAAACCGACGGGTCGCGCCCATGCCGCCGCTGTCCCCAAGAGTGGCACGGAGGAGGAGGATGATGATGATGATGATGATGATGATGATGCAGCTCTGTCCGCTGGTCTGCAGGCAGAGCTGGGGACTGCGTCCTCACGAGAGATTAGCAGATTCCACCTTTTCAGTCCAACGCTCCGGTGTCCGCTGGTCTGCAGGCAGAGCTGGGACTCCGTCCTCAGGGGAGATTAGGAGATTCCCCTTTTTTGGTCTAACATTTTGGGTCCTCTCTCTAGTTAACACCTTTCAGGTAGGGTGAGAAGTAAAAAGAATCTTGGCAGGTACTGGATTACGTTCCTCATCCTTAGATATCACTTAGGTCTCTTAATTCTATGTTGGCTCGTTGTTTTTAGGGATTTTCCTGGAAAACGGGAAGATTTGGAGCAATGCATTTCTCATCTGCATACCAGCTCTGATGTCACACCCTTCTCCTGGTGCTGCAGGGTGCAGGTTTCACTCCCTGGCAGCACCAGGAGGACAGTGGCTGATCACCAACCATTAACAGGAAATTGAAGAACTCTTAACAATTAAACTAACTTAACAGCAACTGGTTCAACCGGTTTTAACTCTGCAACCTTAAACAAAAATAGATAACTTTTTATTCATAACACCATGGGCACTGCATCTGGTGCAGAGAAGGCCAGGATGTGATCTGATAATCTTCCTCTAGCACAGCTTTACCTGCCAGACATTGCTCACATGGCACCTGCTGCAGAGCCACCAGAGCCCCGCTCCTTTTAGGAATCCTTTTGTTCTCCCAGGAACCAGAGGCATCTGTCATATGCTCCCCATGGTGGTGGGTGCCTCAGCAGCACAACAAAGGAGGCTTTTTGCCCCAAGAGTGAAGCCACAAAAAAACCTGTTCCCATCCCTCCCTCTGTGAGGAGAGTACATCTGATCTAACCAGCACAGCACCAGCAAACCCCACTCAAGATTTTGCAACCCTGAGGTTGAAGAGCAGGAGTTTTGGCAACATTTGTGGGGAGATGATAACTGCAGGATGGAGGTGATTTACGGGCAGCACTGACAGTTGTCTGGGTTACTTGCCATGACACAGGCCAGTTGCATTGTGATAGATTGAGGTCATGGAGGGGGAGTGGAAGAGGTCCTGTCATATATCCTTCATCAGGTTTTCATTTGTCTGTGAGTTAGGGTTGTGGTAGCAGTGGGAAAAGGGTCTCATCTGAGTGTTTATTTTTCTATCCTGGAGGGCTCTGTTCCTCAAACATGCTTGTGTTTGATACCTGAAAGGGAGACATCAGCATGAGGGATTTGTGACTCGACTCCCTGACCTGTGCTGCCAGTCAAATTTCAAAAGTAAAATCTAGAGCTTGGGAGCTTAAAAAAAAAAAAAAAAAAAAAAGAGTAAAAAAACTAGACAGAGCAGCACAGGTCTTTGAAGAGCCACACAGACCAGCCTTTGAGCACAGTGTGCCCACCACATGTGTGCCCCATGCAAGTGCTGGGTCAGTGTGCTCTGCTCTGCAGTGCAAAAACACCCAGAAAACCTTTAAAGAACAGATCCATATTGCACCTCCACAGAAAATGCCAACAGTACTACTCAGGGTTTGAAAATCAGGCCCTTCACTTGCTTCTGGTGGATGGAGCATGTAATTCACTACCCTGCCTCAAACTCACGCACAAATAATTAAAAATAGTCAGTCAAAGGCCTTGGTTGCAAAATTATGGCCCAAACTCAGCACTCCCCATTTCTAAAGTGCCACTCCCTCCAGTGACCACTAAATCAATTTTATTATCTAAAGAACATTTTTTTTCAAAACAGATAACCTCCAAGGCTTTAAGCTCATTCTGCTACTTTATATTCTACATCAGGTCTGCCATCCCAGACATGCACAAATCAAGTAGGAGGATGGTGCTTTCAGCTCTGTATGCCCTAAACCAGCCTGGGAAAGCCAAATAAATTTAGGAGGCATGGAAATGGTGCACAATCACCACAGGCTCCAGCACCACAGCCCAGGAACTGGAAGCAATCACTGGGTGCAAAACTGGGGTTTGGTATTTCAGACATCTCCCAGTGAGGGTCTGCACAGCCTGCACGTGGTGATCTTGGTGCAATACCCAAGTGAGACCCTTCTGATGGCTCAAACATCTGGAGAACAGCCATTAAAACATCTGCCTGTGTCTGACATCTATCCGTGTGGCTTTGCTCCTTCTTGAGCTTCCCTCAGGATAATTAGGACTAATTAAAACCAGTCCCTTTTCCACACAATTCAAATAGGCACCCAATGCTCCTCACAGCCCAGGTGTGTTTCGCTCTTATTAATGACTTCACAGTAATTAAGACTAAGAGGGAAGGGGGTGATCTCTCATTAGCAGCAGGTGGTGAAGCTGCCACACTCTGCACTGATGCAATCCTGAGCTTTCTGCAAAAGGAGAGGGGTGTTTTCCCCCAAGGACCTCACAGACTGTGCCCATCCCTTCAGCACTAGCGACCAACAGCCCCCCAAAAATCTTCCAAAAACCCTCCTGAGACCCTGCAGCCCCTCAGAAGCAGAAGCTCTCCCCCAGTTTGCACAGAGATGCTCCCCCAGAGCATCTCTGCTGAATGCTCAGCCTCAGCTGTGTCCTGTCACCTCCTCACACACCAGCTCAGGGATTTCATTCTGCTACCTAATTAGGCAGCCAGGGAAATATGAAAGCTAAAAGCAGCCAGGTATAAACAGGAATCCTTCAGTTACTGAAGGGGCTAATAAGGCCTGAACCTCCTCTCATTTGTACTTTATCAGATAAATGAAAAGGGGGGGAAAGACACACAGTTTAAACATGTGCTTCCAATTTTCTCAGAACTAGTAAATGGAAAATAATGCTCTGCCATTAGCCATTTTCATATTTATTCTGCAGTATATAAGGTTAGAGGTGGGTCATGTTTCTGTGGCAACTATTGTGGAAACAAAAAATCTTTGTGCCATAGTCTTATGTTAATTAAAACTTAGAGCATAAAAACACCTCAACTGCTTCAATAGATGTTTAGTTGTTTAGTTCAAATTCAGGACTGAGTTAGACATTCAAGTCAAATATAATCTGCAAACCCAAGATAAAGACATATTAGGATTTCCTCAAAGAGAAAATAGCTTCCCTATTACATGAGAAAAATGGGTTAAAATACTCTTTTTAATAAAACATCACGGCTATTAACCCAAATGGATATCCAAGAACCTGCCAAACAAAATCAAGTTTGCTGGGTTTTAGGTAGAGAAATTAACTTGTAAAAATGCACTCAAAATCTATTCACTTCTATTTTAGAGAAATATCAGAACAAGTATTAAGAAGTCTTTGTTGGGGGGGGGGGGGTTGGGAATTTTTTTTCTTTCTTGCAGGAAAAGCAATTCTATCATTCTGCAACGCAAAATCTCTCTGTTTATCAGAGAGATAACATCTCTAAAGGTTTATATCTTTTCAGCTGGTTCCCAGGAGATTTCCAAAGCTCTCAGCTGCTTCCCCAGCTGTTTCTGTCCTCCACTCACCTGCTCACAAAGTCACAAGTTTCTCTCTTCATCTCTCCAGTACTAAAACAGTCAGTGCAGGATGGCAGGTTTTACCCTGACACACTCCAAGGGATACCAGAAGTCTTGGTGAGAACAGAGCAGGGAGAAAGTGGTTATTAAAAATACTTTCCATTTTTACTAACACATCCACTAAATCAGACAGAATTTGTGACATTATGTTGAAAACTCTTTATTTGTGTATTTCTGACAATTCAGAACTCAGCAACTGATCCATAGGAGCCACGTTGCACACTTTTACACAAATTCTTTGCTTTTAATTTGCTGTGCTAGGAGGTTCTGGAGGCCATTGCAGCTGATGGTCACAGGGATCTGTATGATTCAGTGGCTGTAATTCAGGTTATTCTAATCCTCCTGAAGTGGCATCAGTTATTAGATCAGATTTAATGCTTTTCATACACATGGGTTCAGGAAGCCTCTTCTTGCTTAGACTGCCACAGCAAAGGAAACTTTGGGTTCAGACTTCCTTGAGACAGCAGCTACCTCCTACTGAGGAGAAATTTAACTTTCCTTTGGATTTTCACAAGGACCGATGAGAGACATAAGATTTTGTGGGTGAAACACTTTCTTCTGTGGATAGAACACTTTATTTTTGGGAAAAAAATGTTATAATCCTAAAATTTTTTTAATTCTCAATGCCCCCATGAAGAAAAAGGAAACAGAGACTGTGCCCTGAGACTTTTCTTTGGTCTTCCTGAGGTTCTTTTCAGTATTTATTTTTAATCTCCTTTGAAACAAGGAGATTTATGACGTAACATTGACAGAACTGTAAATCCAGTGGTGATGTCATCCAGGAAAAATCCCAACAGTTAGGTACCAGGAGCTGCCCACTTTGCAATGCTGGACAGCAGGATGTTCTTGGTGGTTGATTTGCACTGGATATTTCATGCATTTCTTATTTGCTAAAGTAGGTGATCATCAGTTTCCAATGGCTTGTTTTGACCTTATCCAATGGAAAATGAGGTGCTATTTCTGGCATGCTTATGAACCTACTGTTTAGTCCTAAAAGTTTTGCAAGAAAAGGGATAATAAATAGTTATTCACTTCCAGTGAATAGCTTTGTAGATTATGTGCTGAGGGCAGTAACAGCTGCTTCTTGTTACCAAAAAGGCCTCCTACCATGTGTACTGCTAACACACCAAGCTAAGGTCAAGCCGAGTAGCAGTTTTTTTTTTTTTTTCCCCCAACATTGTTTAAAAGCTTTTAAATAAAACCATATTAGAAATACAGTCACCTCTGGTAAGTGATTTTCAAAAGCGAAGTCAGAAGAGCTGTGAGGGGTTTTTTTTAAAAAAAAAAAATCTTCTTTGTTTCTGATTTGGAAGGCTTTTTCTTTTCTCAGTTAAAGGCTCCCTTTATGCTGCTAAGTTCTGGAGATTTTCCCTTGCAGTTCCTGAAGGCTTTTTTAAATCTCCTCCTTTATTTTTGTTTTTGTTTGTTTGTTTGTTTTTTATTACTCTACATTTTCTTCACAAGAGCACTACCAAAATCCAGGTGATTGTTCTGAAAGTTTACACATTGCTAATTTTGCCTGCCATGCACAGGGCAGGGTTGGGTCTCTCCCTTCCCTCTGGTGCTGCATGGTAGGGCTGAGTTTGGACAGGAGGAAGAGGAGGACAGCATCCTCAGAAAGCAGAGCTTTGCCCCAAATCAGTGCAGAGAAAACAGAGGAGTTCTGTGGCTTCCTTCTAGAACCATATCCCAGATTCCATCACATCCCCCTGGATGAATAGTTTTTCCACCGGCCCCAGTGGAAGCTCATTAAGGGCTGCTGTAATTCATAAAATTGTGCAGCCTCTTCGAAGCAAGAGCCACACTCCTGACAGAGGCTCAAAAGGTACAGCATAAAGTCCCCTCTGTCCTTTTTCTAAATATTTTCAAATTTTTTTGTCTCTTTTTTCTAAATATTTGTATTTTCCACCCTTTAATTTTCAAGGAATGTGTGAAAATAAAGCAATCCATTGCACTAACTGTGACAGAGAAAGGAAAAGCTCTTTGTGCTGATAGGGAAGAGAAAAATCTGAAGCCGTGGCTCTGCTGTGGTTTCTAATTATAAAGGGTCTTGTAGGGGCTGCTAAAATCTATGCAAGCAAGTAGAGATTCTTAATAAAGCTGCCAATTAGTACCACTCCCTTATGACCCATGACACTACCTCTTCCCACATCAAAATGCACTTAATGCTGATATTAACACAAATGTTCATCAGTTTTTTACCAGTCATTCCCAGCTGGTTCTCAAAAATGGGAGGCAGGAATAAATTTTTTTTATTGATAAAGCAGCAAACATTTAGATATAATTTCTACCCAGGCCAGTATGACTTTTCTATGGGTAAAAAACAACCCAGCCAGAAAATTTTTTGCTCCCTATTTTTCTGCTTGTAAGTTCCCAAACTGCCAAATAGAAAAGCAAAGATATATACTGCTTTATAAGCTTCCCAAGTTATTTGCCTCTCACTTCAATAACTTCTGTAGGACTTTCAGTAGTTATCACTATTATTTTATTTTAATTCGAACTGTTCTAAGGACGGTTCCAAATGGTTTAGTTCACCCAGCCATGAGTAGACTGGAAAAACTGTAATAAATTGTTGGATACCAAAAACAAAAAAAAAACCAAAACAAAACCAAACCAAAAAAAACCCAAAAAAACAAAAAAAACACCAAAAACCTTTTTTTTATTGATAAAGCAGCAAACATTTAGATATAATTTCTACCCAGGCCAGTATGACTTTTCTATGGGTAAAAAACAACCCAGCCAGAAAATTTTTTGCTCCCTATTTTTCTGCTTGTAAGTTCCCAAACTGCCAAATAGAAAAGCAAAGATATATACTGCTTTATAAGCTTCCCAAGTTATTTGCCTCTCCAATAACTTCTGTAGGACTTTCAGTAGTTATCACTATTATTTTATTTTAATTCAAAGTGTTCTAAGGACAGTTCCAAATGATTTAGTTCACCCAGCCATGAGTAGGCTGGAAAGACTGTCATAAATTTTTGTATACCAAAAACAAAAACCAAAACAAAACAAAAACAAACCAAAAAAAAAAAAAAAAACAAAAAAAAAACCAAACCAAAAAAAAAAAAAAACAAAAAAAAAACAAAACAAAAAAAAAAAAAAAAAAAACCAAAAAAAAACCAAACCAAAAAAAAAAAAAAACAAAAAAAAAACAAAACAAAAAAAAGAAAAAAAAAAGAAAAAATAAGGAAAGAAATCAGGTAATCTCTTCTGATAGTCCAAAAAAAAAAAAAGAAAAAAAAAAAAAGAAGGAAAGAAGGAAATCAGGTAATCTCTTCTGATAGAATAAATTAATTTAGGGGGAAAGAGAAAAACAAAATTTACCAAAGGAAACACAAAGGATAACTGGGAATTCCTCATTAGGGAAGGCTTCCCCCCAGTGCAAACCTAGTTAATAAAGGAGATGGAAGTGAAATAAATACTTATACCAAACAGGGACACTTGGCAGCAACAAATGAGGAGACAGCAGGTGACAGAGGTGTAGGGTTTAGCCACAAGGAAATAATACAAGTAAAATCTTACCTTATGACTTTTCCAGTCCCAAATAAGGATGGTGTCTTGTCCATCACAGTGCAGGAGGAAAAAGGTCTCATGTAATCTCAGATACTGATATCTAGATAGATATTCTAGAATCAACTATGGGAGGCATTAAGATGAAAGTAACAATCGTTACTTATTAAAACAAAAAGACTACAACATTGAGGGATTAACTATAACATTGAGGGATTAACTGTACTCCTTACAGGTAGAGAAAATTACCTCTACAAAGTTCTGAATGACTGTGAAATTTCAAAGGTCTGGGGAAAAAAAGAAAACAAGAATATTGTGCTAGAATTTAATAAGCACACACAGTATACATGTCACAGTATACACAAGTCACAGCCCAGCTAGCATGATTTAAATATGATCTAAATAGGATCTAAATAAAATGTGTGAAAAGCTGACATGAGAGGTATTCACTTAGAAAGCAGCAGCGTGGCTACTGTCAATGCCAATCATCTCAGTTTTATGGGAAATGCATCTTGGCAGGAAAAAATATATATATTTGTCTTGAGATTATAAATAATAGTATTATTTACTTTACTGATAAAGGTAAATACATTTACATTACAGAAACAGCTGCACTACAACAGTTGACATCCTGCCCCATGCCCAAGGCATAAAAATTTGTTTGTTTTTAGCCACAGCTTTGCAGCAGCCTCTTAACAGAGGAAACCCATGAGGAGGAAAGCAGGAAAATTTTTGCTTTGTGCACACATGATGTGCCTGGTGGAACCCTAATCAGAAACAATGTCATGCATTTACCTTAGGCTGCATCCTACCCAAAAAAATTACAGGCCCGTGGATATTTTAACTTTCTGGTATCATGAAAAGCCACCAGGAAAGGAAACAACAAAGCACAAAAGTGCGTGGAAATCCAAGCCACAAACCACAGCACATCTCTCAGTATGCAGCAACCATGTCAAAATCATTTTATAGAAAAAGTGGGGGAAAGGCTTGCAACCTTGTTAAGAATTTTCACGGTCTAAATCTTATTTTCTTTTTCCCCTGTGAAACTTCACCAGCGCGAGGGAGTCTTTGAAAATTGCTAAGTACAGGCTGGAAAAATCAACTGCACCATGATGAATCAAGATACCATAAATATATTGCTAATCTATGTGGTTTGGAAATTCAATTAGAAGGAGATTACGAATTAATAATTCTCGCATTCCACGAAGCAGAATGTGTTTTTCCCTAAATATCCCCAGAGCACTCCTAATTCCCAGACATACCACAGCCTTCAGCTCATGCAGCATGAGTATGTGGCTTTATTCCTATTGTATGAATTGTGTTGCACTCAAGTTTCATGGACTCTCACCAGTCTCTGGGTGTCTTGGAATTCCTCTGAGTTTATTACGTGGGAATGGAACACTGAGCACATAAATATTTATTGAAAGCAGACAAATAAATTATTCTCTTTTTTTAATTTTACAGAATTACTACGTTTTTGGACAAACACTTTTACCAAGTGTTTACCAGTTCTGCATAGAATGGTTCTGGACTCAAGAATATTGTTGCAATAGCAATTGTTGTGAAAATTACTCAGTTACAGTCTTTGCTCATAGCTGAGGTGGATTTGAGTTACACATTTCCACATTTTGCACAGATCTGCTGATTCCTCATTTGAACATGGAAATTATTTCCTCTGAACATGCTGTGACCTTCCTCTGCACCTGCCTTCACCTGCACAAAAAATATTAATCAGAAAACGTATTTTGCTGCTCACCTGGTAATTTGTTTTTATTTATCCAATGCTTTCATTAACTATCTTTTGAGGCTGCAAATAGGATACATATGTCTGGAGATATACACACCAATGATTTTTCTTGACATATTAAAATCTAAAATTCCAAGTTCTCCAGCAGGAAAACGTAGTCAGGAAGAGTATCAGGATTTCAAATTAAATCCTGGGGAGAGAATGAGGTAAAAGCTTTCCAAATATCTCTTTCCCTCTCTACATAACTGAGCGGCTCACTCGAGAGAGGGAAACCACAGAGTTGCTGAGCAGAGGCAGATTGGGCTGTGGGAGGAAAATAAGAAAGCAATGTTTCTCCAAAGTGCATTCCATGGCCAAAAATAAACATATTTTCAACTTAAGAAAATACAGTGTAGAAGTAGTGAGTGGGCCACCAAGCTCAGTGTTGGCCAAGCACTCCCAGGACTTTATGCAGAATATGCAACGTATCCCCTGGAAATAAAACCAGGCATTTCCCCGTTTCAATGACTTTCTAGCAGGCATTTGAAATCTAGCATGGGTGATACCCACCACAATCCACTCCCCCTGTCAGCAAACAGCTCTGGCTGTACTGGACAATTGAGAAAATAAACAGCATCCAAAAGCTGAGTTGCCATCACCCAGAAAAGCACAAGGGCTACTAAAATAGCCACAGCCTATTGCAGAGAAAAAGGAAATTTTCTCAAGGAAATTGGTTCGTCACATTGTTAAATCTGGAGGGGATTTCAATGTGGATAAACTGAATTAGTTATCATTGAATTTACGACGAATTTGGGTACCTACTTTCATAGATAACTTGTAATTGTCAGCTGCAGCCAGACATCACTGCTCAGTTTCTTTCTTTCTGGCACAAACCCAAACTTTGCTATGAAAATTTAGGCTGGTGTTGGAGGCCTGAATAAAAGCTGAACAAAGGAGAGCTTCTCCCTCTGGCCATCCTGATGGAAGAGACATTTTCCTCTGCATCATTTAGAGGAAGTAATGCCTCCAGAGATAAACAACTGCAGGTAAAAACTCTACAGGAAATCAGACAAAAACCAAAACCACCCAAATTTACCACAGGGCCTTCCTCCAAATGCTTTCAAAAGGATTAAGCCCCATTAAAACATTTTCTTGTTTTTCTAGCAGCCATACAGCTAAACCTCCAGTTTGCTGAGAATTTATGATCATCTCTGTATTCCACAGAGCTTAGGATAATCATAAATAGCCATAATGGATGAATGCTGCAAAGTCCACACCTTGCAATCTTCCCAGGCAATTGTCTGGGTTTTCAAACTAGGATGAATATATAAAGTTTCATTCCTTTAATTTACACCATTTTCTTTCCCAAGAACAATTCCATTCTAAAACAGAGGCTTTTGTGACAATAATTCTGTGTAAATAATGAGAGAATCATGTGTGTATTCCTTCAAAACATCTAGGCAAAGTGAATTCTATTTAATTTCAGATGTGGATTTCTTTTCTCTCTCTACCTGGTTTTAAGGGAAGGGAGAGAATAATCTGAGAATAATCTATCTCTTTGCTTTGATGCCCCATCACCTTTCTAATGCACTTTTAAGTTTTTATATTGGATTGCCCATGTGCCTCTTCTTCTCTTGTTTTTCAGTGTAATCACTCGTGAAAACCATAAGCTCAAGAATATTTTTGCTTCAATCAAACTTTCAAACTCTGTATGTTTAGGGATGTTAGAAAGAAATCAGTTGTTTTCAATTAAACTATAACCTTCAGAAAGCATCTTTATGTGCATCACTTATGAAGGGGAAGGTAAACAGGTGATGTGTTGAAAATGTAGCCAAGGAGGTGAGATCAGGGAATGGGAGCTCTTTAAGCAAATTGAATTCTGTCACAAATGTATCAATGCAGCACCCACAGAGGAAGAATCAAACTTACTAACTGGGTCCCAAAAAGTTATTTTGTTATATGTACATGTTTTGCACAACCAGCTGGACACATAATAATTTGGGCTGTAAAGCATTTTAAAAATAAGCCTGAATTACTGGGACCTTGGCATACAGCAACACTTCATTCCCTGAACCTTCTCTTCAGCTGAATTCCTAAAAACCCACCTGCCAGTGGCCTTGTGTGATCACCATACCACACGAATGACCTATCAACATTAATTTTTGCTATCTACATTCAAAAAAACCCCTAAATACCTTAACTGCATACAGCCGTTTGCACAGAGCTTCATAAACTTGTATTAAATGAAAAATTTTCTTCTGGTTAGGTCCGTTTCACCCAAACTGTAAATCCTGGATCAGGAGATGACCACAAAACACCTAAATTCCTTTTGAACTTTATCTCACTCCACAGGATATTTTAGTCATATTCCCTTGCTTCAATATTCTATATATCTGTTCTTCTTCTTTGGTTTGCAATAGTTTATTTAATTTGCCTGGGGATACATTGAAAAGTACCTTGAAATGGATATTGAGAATCTGTAACCCCAGATTATGCCACTTACTCTCTCTTGGTCATGTCATCACTGAAATACAGACAATGACAATAATGGAAAGAACTGGTAACTTTCTCACTTTAAGAAAAATTAAGAAATGAGGAAGAAAAAGTTAAGGAAAGCCTTTAAAAAAAAAAAGTCAAGAAAAATTTTTATACAATCTTTAAATCCTAGTATTGTATGAAACTACCCTGTATCCACTAAAAAATACAGTTCACTAAGAAATCTTATAAAAACACTTAGTACATACAACCACTAGCTGTTGGTTTGATTACTTATAGTTACTATTCTACAAAAGCAAAAATTTTTTGCAGCAAATGAAAGTTTCTCTTAGCAGCTCTCAGTTGGTAGCACAGGAAAACCTACATAAAACAAGTTCCTAAAAGTACTTCAGCTAGAAAATAAAGCATATTAATCCAAATTATAATCTCAGGCCTTTCACACAGGAAAATTATTTTCACTGCAGATGTCCTACAATCAAACAGGAATGAAGATTTTAAAATATTTTTCATGTTCAATTCACAGATCTTGCAAAGAAATCCTGGTGAAATCCTGACCTCTGGCAGGAAAGGATCCCTCTCATGTAGTGATGCAGTGCAGCCTCATTCCCCCATGGACAGCTGAGGCAAGAAAAAGGTAAAATTCCTAAAAGATGAAGACAGTAAACTGCAGAAAAATTGATTCAATATCAAGTGGCATTGTTAGATTCTTTTCCAGTTAAAGAAAATAATGAGGTGACTCTAATACGCTGAATCTTTCCCTTTTTGGGGCTATATCACATAACAGGAAAGGAAATTGAAAACAGTTGTCTGCCCAACACCAGCACAAAACATATTTAATGGCTTCGGTTCCTCTGAAATGAATTTCATGCAGGAGATGAGAAAATAGATCTAATTTTTCTTTCTTCCTTTTTTTTTGGGGGTTTTTTTTTTTTTTTTTGTTTTTGTTTTTTGTTTTTTGGTTTTTTGTTTTTTGGGTTTTTTTGTGGGTGTGAATCAAAAGCCTGGTGAAGCAAGGCACAGGGAAAAGCAGGACTGGAGTCACAACATGAAAGTCTGATTACTGTTACACACCTGCTGTCAAAAGATATGTCAGAAAGGTACACAATTCTGACTTAAGGCTACAATTGTGATTAATCTTACCACAGCAGGCACCAATGAAATAATACATTTCACAAATTTGAAGCAATGCCTCTGAGAAAGCTTTAACAACAGCTGGAAAACTCCCAGAAATTCAATAGATGAAGTTTGAAATATTTTTTAATTAAGTGTTGGCGGATGCTACACAAAAAAAGAGTTCCAAATCTGTAAAGCAAAATAACATATTTTTCTCCTGCTAACTACTGTGGCTCAAAAATAAAGTCACTGAAAGACCAAGAAGTTTTCAACGTCAGGGTAGAAGGGGTTGGGTCACCATCAAAAATAACCTCAATTCCAAGAGGGCTGAGAAAAAAATGTCTGTAAAAAACAGGTACAACTTGAAAAGTGGCCAAAAAATTATGTGGAATCACAGTTTTAGAGAACATGTGTGACATGCTGCAAAAGGTAACATTTCTGGGGTTTTTTTTGCATATAAATAAACAACTTTATGTATTTCCATATCTGCATATTTGCAACATCAACACAAATGTGAGGGGCAGAGGGAAAGAAATTAAAGTCGACTCCCTAAGTGCTGGAAATGGCATCAGAAAAACGGCCAAAAAGCACTTTTGTGGCACCAGGCTGGAAATATTTGTGTAGAAAACCATCTCACTTTCCACCACTCTTTCTGCAGCATTTTGTCAGAAGAGCCTCAAGTAGTCTGAGCTTACTGCGAATTTCAAATGCAAGGGAAGGTGAATATAATTTTTGCCCTGAGAAAAACTTAAAACTCCCCCCCAAAAAAATACCTCACACCTAGCTCATTATAAGCTAGGTTTGGGTTATAAGCTCAGTTGATTGAAGGGGAAAAAAAAAAAAAAACCAACCCAGAGCAGAAAGAAATATGTATTTGATCGGCACAGCCACAATTGAAAATATTGATGAAACTGCAGTAATTACAGACCAAAAGCTAAGTCTTTAAACTATTGACTTTCACCTCATTTTAATACACCTATTTTAATGGGGTTCTTGCAAAATAGAAATATTTCACAAAATCTATACCATACAACTCTATTATGGGAGCCATATTGGCCTCTAGTGGTATTTTTATTGCTCTTACTATGTCATTCCTATTATTTTCAGGATCCCTGTTACTTTACGGATCCTTGGGACTTGCTGAAATAATAAAACACCTGCATGACCTCACCCGGTCAATACCTGGAGAATAGCTTGGACTCTGCACAAAAATTACTGTGCAAATTCCAGTGTAAAGATGTTTTACATCTTTATATGAAACATAAGATGTAAAAAAACCCAATAATTTTTTTAAAAAGCATAATATGGTCACTTGAAGAGTGACCAAATCACACAAGAGGCTTTGGGCAAATAATAGCCTGGAAGGGGTGTAAGACACACCTGAAGGTCCTTTAATAGGAGAAAGGAGTGTAAAGTAATTTTTCTCTTTAAAGCAGGTCATTCCCTAGACAGTGATTACTTTAAAGGGTTTGATTACACTTCCAAGTAGCTTTCAGAATTGACTCACTCTAGGTAAGATTCATTCATGCTAAATGTTACAGGTGGGCTTTTTTTATGGTAAATTTCATCTTTTGCCCTGTTAGAAGTGACAAACTGTCCATCAGAGGCAATGCACTCCTAGGAAATAAGGTGTGATAAACCCCAATTCTGAGCTGTTATATTAAACATTAATCATTCTTCTTGCAAGTACAACAAGGTGTCCATCTGTTGGAACCCAGGACATCCCTCTGGATGCCCTGGATGGCTCAAAGCCCTGGCAGGGGCTCGGAGACCCTGGTAGGAAGCCAAAGACACCTGGAAATTTGATGTCAACCCATGGAGCAAATTACCAACTTTGTATGAAGAATTACAGGTCACAAAAGTTTAAGTAGCATAGCAGTGGCAATCACAGGGTGAAGGGAAAAATTTTGGAGCACTGCACAAGGGGATTTTGGACCTTGTACAGGGGGTTTGGGATTCTGCACATGGGAGTCTGAGATGGAGGGATTTGGGTGTGCCCTGTCCTTCTTCTTTCTTCTCCCTGGCATCCATGTTCAGGATGATGTTGGCACTCACAGACTGGTTTGGAGTAGAAAGTCACTGTCTAGCACAGGTGATAGGCGTTGGAAAGTAACTGTAAACATGGTATAGGTAGTTTTTAGTATAAAAGATAGCACCAGCCCGAGAGGGGGGAGAGTGCACTGGGCTGTCCTGCTGAACAGACCTCGGCTGGGCAGAGAGAAAATATTGTAGATAAGAATTAATAAACAAGATTGAAGACCGAAAAACCTGAGAGTCCAGACTCGTCCTTCAAAAGTGCAGCCACCCAGAACCACTTTTCCCTTATTGGAGCAGAGACAAAGAACAGCCAACCCCGATACCCATCAATGCCTGTTGTTATCAGAATATCAGATGACCTCCAGTGCCTAATTTCATGAAACTCTGCGACAGAGGAAGGTCCAAACCCCACCCAGAAGAAGCAGAGACCACATCACTCAAGAAGATTTCCTTTCCCACTGGTCTTCCCCTCTTGGAAAGCGAAGTAACCCATGGATGACAGTCAGCTTGGGAATCCTCGCAGCTCCTGCTGAGCTACACAGAAGGGCAGGGACCCTCCTCAGCTGCCAACCCCATCCCCCTGGGCTGCCCTGGCTGCACAAACCATCACCTCTGGGGCCCCCACCCCTCACTGCCACACAGCCACAGCGTTTCCCTGCAAAGAGCACTACAAGCTTTGGAGCTTCCTGTGTTATCCTCCAAAACTGGACCCAAGCCCTGGCACTTAAATTTAGATTAACTGTCTCACGTTTTATTTATTTGCTGCTTCCTGAGTTATTAATATAATAAGCCTTGCCCATTTAAAGTCAGAACACACAGGCTGAAAAAGCCCAACAAATACCTCCTAAAATGGCCCATTTCCTGTTGCTCCAAGTGCACCTTCTCTGCTCCATTTCCAGGGCTGGCATAAAGTGATTAATTACGTGTGTACATGTTAGAGAACGTACACGCCCATTGCTTTTCCTCCTCGCTACACTCTCACTGCTGCCCGAGATAAAAACTACCACTAAGTAAACACATTAACATGGAGGAACATGATCCCCTGGGGCCAGAGCACACTTAGAGTGACCGAATCCAAAGGTTTTTCATCTCTGGCTCTCTCTTAGCTGTCGGACATGGACAGCTTGAGGGTGGCACTGGCTTTTTTCATGTCTGCGCCAACTCCTGTCACAAAATTTTAGAAAGGTTTTTGAAGTGCAGAGGGGTAACTCCTGCCATGGACCTGTGAAGTCATTGTCCCTTGTACAGTTGTGCAGAGGGAAGGCTCAGCTTCTTACTCTCTAAGTCATTCCAGTTTTAATGTAGGTATTATTTAACAGTAAATGAGAGAGGGAGAGGGAGAGAAAAGGTGGAAGGAAGGAAGGCAGGAAGGGTTCCACTGTGGGGAACAGTGAAGAGTTCTTTTAAAATTAGATGTTCGTGCATGAAATTAAGTTAAAAGAGACAACATTGTATCTGTGCAGCATTTATTGGTGATGGAAATTTAAAAAACGGAGTTGCCTGAATAGAGAGGATGAGAAAAGACAGAAAAGGGGGAAAGAAAATGGAGGAGAGGAGAGGAGAGGAGTTCAGGCAACTTCAGGCAAGTCCAGGCAACGCAAGGCAAGGCAAGGCTAAGTGGGGAGGGAAGGGAAGCTCAGGGAAAGGAAGCTCAGGGAAATTCACAGAAGGGAGGGAGTAGGATGAAGCCTTCTCCCCTCCGTGCATGCCCACGACTGAGCCTGGGGAGAGCTTTGGGGCTCTCAGAGGGGTTATGACTGATCCTCACTGCTTGTTCTTGTTCTTCTTGTTCTTGTTCTTCTTGTTCTTCTTTTCTTGTTATACTTTATGTTCTTGTTTTTCTTGTGCTTCCTTCTCTTTTTATGCTTCTTCTTCTTCTTTGAGACGATATTCTTGTTCTATTTCTTTTTCTTCTTCTTGATCTTGTTATACTTCTTGTTCTTCTTGCTCTTCTTCTCCTTTTTATACTTTTTGTTCTTGCTCTTCTTTTTCTTTCAATTCTTAATCTTATTTCTTTTTCTCACTCATTCCTTTCATTATTTCTACTCTTAGGCTGATTATTTTCTTATTCTTCGTCTTACCCTTATTGTTATTTCTATTCTTATTCCTGTTCTTATTCTTACTCTTATTTTTATTCTTTTTTACTACTTTTTGTTCTTGTTCTTCTTTATCTTTCAATTCTTAATCTCATTTCTTTTTCTCACTCCCTCCTTTCATTATTTTTACTCTTAGGATGATTATTTTCTTATTCTTCTTCTCACTCTTATTCTTACTCCTATTCTTATCCTTATTCTTTTTTATTACTTTTTGTTCTTGTTCTTCTTTTTCTTTCAGTTCTTAATCTTTTTTTGGTTTTTTTCCTCACTCATTTCTTTCATTATTTCTACTCTTAGGCTGATTATTTTCTTATTCTTCTTCTTGCTCATTGTTATTTCTATTCTTATTCCTATTCCAGTTCTTATTCTTACTCCTATTCTTATCCTTATTCTTTTTTACTACTACTACTACTTCAGGGAAGGGAAGTTCAGGGAAGGGAAGTTCAGGGAAGGGAAGTTCAGGGAAGTTCAGGGAAGGCAAAAGGGACAGATTAGGATGAAATTTTCTCCCCTCCGTGCATGCCAAGGCGTCCCGCTGACGCTCTCCACCAGCTCTCCATGGTGCTCAGGGTCCCCCAGAACATGGAGCTCAGCACAGAGACAGACACTGGGGCCAGGGGAGCACCCGGGGCCCTGCCCTGGCTGGGGGAAGTTTGAGGCAGTCTCTTGCAGCACACTCTGCATCTGCTGCATGGCTTTGCATCCCGTGCAGTGCTGTGCTGCAAGGCCTCAGCACTGAGCCTGGGGAGAGCTTTGGGGCTCTCAGAGGGGTTATGACTGATCCTCACTGCTTGTTCTTGTTCTTCTTGTTCTTGTTCTTCTTGTTCTTCTTTTCTTGTTATACTTTATGTTCTTGTTTTTCTTGTGCTTCCTTCTCTTTTTATGCTTCTTCTTCTTCTTCTTTGAGATATTCTTGTTCTATTTCTTTTTCTTCTTCTTGATCTTGTTATACTTCTTGTTCTTCTTGCTCTTCTTCTCCTTTTTATACTTTTTGTTCTTGCTCTTCTTTTTCTTTCAATTCTTAATCTTATTTCTTTTTCTCACTCATTCCTTTCATTATTTCTACTGTTAGGCTGATTATTTTCTTATTCTTCGTCTTACCCTTATTCTTATTTCTATTCTTATTCTTATTCCTGTTCTTATTCTTACTCTTATTTTTATTCTTTTTTACTACTTCTACTCTTTGTTCTTGTTCTTCTTTATCTTTCAATTCTTAATCTCATTTCTTTTTCTCACTCCCTCCTTTCATTATTTTTACTCTTAGGATGATTATTTTCTTATTCTTCTTCTCACTCTTATTCTTACTCCTATTCTTATCCTTATTCTTTTTTATTACTTTTTTTTCTTGTTCTTCTTTTTCTTTCAGTTCTTAATCTTTTTTTGGTTTTTTTCCTCACTCATTTCTTTCATTATTTCTACTCTTAGGCTGATTATTTTCTTATTCTTCTTCTTGCTCATTGTTATTTCTATTCTTATTCCTAGTCCAGTTCTTATTCTTACTCCTACTCTTATCCTTATTCTTTTTTACTACTACTACTACTCTTTCTTCTACTGTTGCTCAGCAGGGGCTTATCCCTAGGATGACTCCTGGGTGCCGGCATCCCCTGGCCCAGCAGAGGATGGATCTGTCTGAGGGGGGGCTTTACCTGAAGACGCTTCCTGGGAGGCACCAGCATTTCCTTGGGATGCATCTGGCTCCTGGCCACGGGCTGCCCCCTCTGTGCCCACATTGCTGGGAGAGCCGGCTCCCTGCTGGGCCTCCTTGTTCTTCTCTTGGGCACTGGCATCTTTCCCTTCAGTTCCCTCCTCGTCTCCCACTTTCTTGTCCTTGTCGCTTTGGCAGAAGTGCACGGCGACCTCTTTTTCGTCCACAGAATGCAGAACCGAGAACAGATCTGGGACCGGGGACAGCCCTCGGCACGGGGACAGCACACAGGATGGGGATGCCGGACGGCACGGGGGCAGCTCTGACCACGGGGACAGCGGTGACCACGGGGACAGAGCACAGCACGACAACTCTGGGCATCTATCATCCTCACAATCGTCCCATTGGCATGGCTCCTGCGCTGTCACACACTGTGCCCACGGGCAAAGCCTTGGGCCTGTTACCTCTTCTTCCCACAGGCACAACTCTTGGCATCTGTCGTCGTCCTCGTCATCCACGCCCTGCATTGTCACGCACTCTCCGCACCGGCACAGCGCCTGCTGTGTCCCATCTGGCCACTGCACTGTTGCACCTAGCTGCCACTGGCGCACCTTCTGCTGTGACACAGCTCCACAGGGTGACATTTCCTGGAATGTGTCTTCTTCTTCCCATCGGTGAACCTCTTGCACTGACACTTCTTCCCAAAGGCAGAACTCTCGGCGACAGACATCTTCCAATGGGCAAAGCTCTTCAACTGCGGGGTATTGGCACTCATGGTCCATGGTGACAAAGCCCCTTTCTGTGACAGAGAGAAGGACTGAGCTGCCCGCTGCCCCCAGCCACTGCCCACTGAGGGCCTGGTCTTGCAGCCAGCTGGACAAGGGGCTTGGGGGCTGGGAGTTGGCCTTTGCCTTGTCCTCCTCTCTGTCTGATGTCACTGGCACAGATGACTCCTGGGACACAGCCGCTCTGCTGGCACTGGCCAGACCAGGGCCCGCAGTGTCCCTTATATACCCCCAGCCGGGGCAGGGCTCTGCCATGTCACAAAGGACTGTGGGCATCACAACGTCCTTCACCACCGAGGGCTGTGGCACAAGGTGCCTGTGTCACAAAGCCACCCCAGCACCCCTGGAGCTGCCGAAGGCTCTGGCAGTGGCTGGAGCATGGCCGGCCTCGGGGCCCGCGGCCCGTGGGTGTGAGGCGCTGATTGAAATGGTCAGGAAGGGCTGGGCCCGAGGGAAGGGGCAAAGGAGACCTTGTGTCAAACCAGTGGTGTGGGGCTCATTGAAATGGGCATGGCAGAGACAGGGGGAGAGAGAGAGAAAGGGGGAGGGAGAGGGAGAGAGAAAGAAAGGGAAGTTCAGGGAAGGGAAGGGAGGAACTGAAGAAAGAGATAAAGTGACAGAAAGAGCAAGATCGTAGAAAGAGAGAACAAGAGAAAGAAAGAGAGAGTAAGAAAGAAAGTGAAAGAATGAGAGAAAGAAGAGAAGGAAGTGTTGGAAGGAAGAAGAAAGAAAAGAAAGAAAAAGAAGGAAAGAAGGAATCTTGCAGCACACTCTGCATCTGCTGCATGGCTTTGCATCCCGTGCAGTGCTGTGCTGCAAGGCCTCAGCACTGAGCCTGGGGAGCTCAGTGCTTTGGGGCTCCCAGAGGGATTATGAGTCATCCTCATTGCTTCTGCTTCTTGTTTTGTTGTTGTTATATTACTTCTTCATCCTCTTCATGGTCTTCTTCTTCATCTTCTTCTTCTTTTCCTTGCTGTCCTTATTCTTCTTGCTCTTCTTTTTCTTTCTTCTCCTTCTTTTTATGCTTCTTGTTCTTCTTGGTCTTGTTTTTCTTGCTCCTATTTTTCTTCTTCTTCTTTTTCTTGTTGTTTTTGTTGTTGTTCTTCTTCTTTTGGTATACTTCTTGTTCTTGTTCTTCTTGTCCTTCTTTCTCTTTTCATACCTTTGGTTCTTGCTCTTGTTCCTGTTCTCATTTGGTATTTCTTGTTCTTCTTCTTGATCTTGTTATACTTGCTCTTCTTCTTTTTATACTTTTTGTTCTTGTTCTTGATCTCCTTTATCTTCATGTTATACTTCTTTCAATTCTTACTTTAATCTTATGTGTTTTTCTTATTCATATTCTTTTCATTACTTCTACTCTTAGTCTGATTATTTTCTTATTTTTTTCTTATTCTTATTCTTATATCTAGTCT